GACCCTAGGACCATCAAGGGAGAAGAGCACAGGCAGAATGCAGGACCTTATCCAGAGAAGCAGTGACACCAGAGATGGAGGCAGAGATGACATGGAGAGAGGGTGCAGCTGAGGACTCTGGACTCATGGAAAGAGGGACTGGGGACTGGTGGCCAGGAGGCAGGCTTGCAGAATGTGCCCTTTGATTGTTCAAATTATTTTATATTCCTGAGTGTTTTGTGTTCATCCCCCTCCTCGTGCCCCCCTCCCCACCCTGTTAAAACAAACAAACAAACAAAAAACCAGAGGGAATGGAAGCAAATACTGTTGAATGATGACGCACAGAGTAGATTATAATCATTGCAATAAATCGATGGTGTAAAGCCGATGTTCTCCTATCTAAACTATCACTCAGTTCACAATAAAAACTTAAAAAAACAAAAACAAACCCTAACTGAGCCAGAGCTGAATTAGTCACTAATGCATCAATGAATGTTTTCATTTACTTATGTAGTGTTTGCATATGTGTTCCTTGCTGACTTCAGGGTCACCATACTTTTGCTATATTATTAAGCTGCTCTACAATGTTTTTGAAAACTATGGCATCAGAAAGGAAAGAGCACTGACTTATCAGGAGATGGTTATTCACTTAAGTGTGCAATTTATTTTTTAGTAATACTTTGGGAAAATCACCGTCTCTCAACTCTAGCTTCCTCTGAACTTTTTTTGGGAGATGATGAGTGAATATTATTCGCTAAATTCTAGCAGTTTTGTTCTAATGGCTCTGGATTCATTGACATGGTTGGGACTCATTGAAGTGTTACCTCTTTGTAAGCCACTTGAAAAAGGCCTAAGCCTTCTCACTCAAGTCAGTTTAAAAGAGCTGTAGAAATCCGAACCAGAATACACCTGTCAGACCACCTAATCTATCCCTCCACTTGTATGCGTTTTGTCCACGGCATACTCTAAGTTGTTTTGAATAATACTCTCTTTCCTTTGTTCTAGCCCTTATTATTTTTTCAGAGACTTTTCTTTTTGTTTGTTTGTTTTTGACATCTTTTATTTGTAATAAGTATTGCATGCAGTGTTGCAGTACATAATTTTTTAAAACTTTTTATTGTGAATTGCGTGAAGGTTTGCAGATAAGATCATCAGCTTTACATTCAACAATCCCAGTTAATCTGGCTAGCAATTGAATTAAAAAATCCTATTGCCCATCAACCCTCCCACCCTTTTTCACCAGATCCAACTGGAAAAGAGGGGAACTATTCAGTGGGGATTCTACCTTAGCCTCCTCACTCTGAAACTAAGCACACTCATGGAAGCTTATAAGCCAGCCACTGCATGCCTTTATTGCCGCCCCCCCAAATCTCATTTTTGATAGACAGTGTCAAGATTGACCATCCCTATGTTGGTTAATGTGCTGGACTGCAAAGTCAATTTGAACTTCAAGGTCAGTGGTTCAAGCTCATCAGCTGCTCCTCAGAAACCCTATATGGGCTCACTGAGTCGGAACTGACTCAATGGCACTTAACAACAATATCAGCCCAATACATTGAGGAAACAAGCTTGTTCCTTGATAGGAAAAATCCTTCCATTCTGGTTGGAATTTTAAGCAACTCCATCCATGGGCAAAAGTCTAGTTCATCCAATTGTAGCAATTTGCACTTGCTCACAGTATCCAACATGTTTATCTTCATCTGGTCAGGTTCTGGTCAGCGAGCCGTCCAAGCTAGGTCACATGGGGACTAGTTGCAAGTTTAGGAGTTCACGCACACCTCTCTGCACTCCAGACTAGCTGGCAGCTTCACTCTTAGCCCTAGTCACCAGGGACTAGGTCAGTGCCCATGGGCTCAAGAGTTCACTCATCTTCCTAAACTACAGCCCAGCCAGCCCTTCTTCTCTCTTTCATCTCAGGGTTAACGGGTGCTAATAGAACCTGGTCAAGCTTAGCCTATGACTTCAGTGCTGTATTTCCCTCACTGCCACTCACAAGTAGGTCCAGGTGATCACCAGCAGGTATACTACACAGCCAGAGACTTTTCTTGTGCTTTCAGTTCACCCTTTCTTTTAGTCATTTAAAAAGGGAATATGGCTTTTTTTTTTAACTTTAAAACTTCCCAAGTTTCTTTGCTTGTTGTTGTTTGTTGTTAAGTGTCATTGAGTCGGTTCTGACTCATGGTGACCCTGTATACGGTTTCCAAGGAGTGACTGGTGAATTTGAACTACTGACCTTATAGTGTAAACTGAACTTGCAGTTCAATGCATTAACCTGCAGTGCCACATCAAGACAGTAACATATATAAGTATAGAAAATTTGGGAGAATGGAAGGAAGGGACTTAAAAAATTTTGTGGAAAAATTCCATTAT